CTATGAAGTAGAATTGAGGTCGGATTGAGGTCAGGGTTACTGGATCAGATCGATGTATTTTGTGATGTTAATTATCTTCCCTTTTCGATAACATCTCCAGGTCTCTCTGGGATCTGATTCCGAAATCATTTTCATCTCGATTCTTGGTTGGACCTTGGCTCGGCCGAATATCTTTCCGCTATTGGACTTCGGGAATTGCGTCATCGCCAAGCCCGTGCCGTAGGACATCTCATCCCACAACACGCACACCGCTCCGCGCAAGAATAACGGATGCTTTAGCAGGTAGATCCAATACAATCACCCAAAAGTGTCCCCGTCTATTAATCATCTGTTCCACCGTTAAACAGACAGCGATGCGATCGAGCAACATCAAGGATCTTCCCGCCACTGACAGCTTCGACTGTGACCAACTCACGTCTTTTGTTGCGCGTGAACTCAGTCTGGCTCGTTACGCCATGAAGAGAACGGTACATGCCACTCTGTTTACCCGCACTTAGCTAATATTCCATGCAGATTCAAACATCGATCGACAAGACGAAGGGTGCTGAGATCCGCCACATCACCGCAATGGCCGCCGAGCTTCTCAAACATGCCCCCAACGTAAATGCGACGTATGGTTTATATTTCCGGCTTGCATTGATTGTAAGTTTCCTTCATGTATTTCAATCATCTCTAATGCATCCGACGTAGCGCTCCCATATTGCGCAAAACCATTCCAACGCCGAGTTCTGGACCAAGGTCGATGAGCAGCTCCAGGAGCTTCATCTCGAGTCGCCGGAGGATTTTGTAGGGTGCGTTTGTGCTCCTATATCCGTATACACGGCGCCCTTTCTAATCATCGATGAACAGGGCACTGGAGACCCTTTACGAAGAAGATCTCGAACTGTACCAAATCGAAGGCGACGTTAAATTCAAGGTTGGCAGCAACGTCGGCGAGGGAAGCCCCAAATGGCTTCAAAATCTCTCGGCGCTCGCTCCCAAAATTCAATTTGTATCCAAGAAGCAGGGTACCAAGCGCAAGCGTCGGCAACTGGAGCCCGAGGAGGAGGATGAACCGGACCAAGGAACCGGGGTCCAACCTCCCCAACCCGACGTCGACGAGCAGCAGGACGGCGAGGTTGACGAGGAGCACACCTAGTACATATAGACCACTGAGAATATATCTATATTATGCAAATTCTTTCGGACTTTAAAGCCCTTTGTGAGACCAAATTGAAACTTTTTTTGCGAATTGTTGCCCGGTATACAACCTCGAAACCATCCATAAACAAACTGAAAATCACAATGCGTTGGATGTACGACCACATGAGAGCAACTCAATTTAGACTTGGATACGACTTGGGTATAACATTGTTTCGATGCTTCCCACCGGAGGCCAATTTGAGGTCAATGGGTCGCAATGATGTCTGATCGATTGGCGGATCGCCTTCATTTTTGACATCAAAAGTATAGTCAATTGAAGTCGTCGAGAGACGGCCATTGACTCTCACTTCCGACGTCAAATCGATGTTCCTTCCGTATGGTGGTGTAGACAGACACTTTATCAGTTCAATTAAGTACCTCGCTTGATAAAAGTATCTCAAATCTTCCCAACGATATCATCATCTTCATGATTAAAGCTGCGCTCGTGTATGCGGCATCTCCGCCCAAGGCCCCCCAATCACCTTCAGCGGGATCCCATATCCTTTTAGCGTTGTTGATTTGTGGCCACTTCCAGGAAGAATTCAAGTCCTCGGCCCCGCAAAGTTCGTATCAAGACCTCTAAGACTCTTCCTCAAACGTTCAACGACCAAACCTTTGGACCCTAACTGCTCAAACGAAGACGGACATCTCAATCGCAGACCGCCTTCTTTTAGCGCTCGTGTCAAACTGAGGTGATTGCAGGGCTTTGGGCAGGGAACGCTCTGGTCCGACATCTTTGTGGTTGTTGTCGGTTTCCAGGAAGAATCCAAGTTGTCTACGCCGCTAGTATGCTTCATCTCGACCCCTCATCGAACATTGTTGTCTCCTGCAGGTGATCTTGATCGACCGAACCTTTCGCAGGGTTTGACATCCCAACGCTTTTGGCGCCTCGCCAAAGCCCCACATCTCTGACGCGAGTGATGATCAGCCAATTCAATAGACTCGAAGTTCCGGCATTCCGTGTAGGGATATATAAAGATCTCCAGTCATCTCGACTCCGTCTCAAGCACCATGAGATTTCTCCTGGTTCCGCTGCTATTGGGAATCGCATTCCCTGTATCTCTGGCATCGAATCCGTCGGAAATCAAAACTACTGAACCTGAGGCCTGCAGCGTCCGTGCATGGGTGCGCGCAGAAGACCTGTCGCCCGACCATGTCTCTCGTGGTACGTCGCGCACTGTGTCTGCAGATTATCTTACTAATATTATGAAGGCGAGCTCCGAATCAAGGTTACCCACGTAGAATGTGCGAACCAGATTGCGTCTGTGGCCCTCCGCCTGCAGCTCGACGAGTTTGGCGAGTTTAAATACCTGAAAAATGGTGCCGTCCTCCCGGCGGTACAGCCCACGAACCAGAGTGCGCCGGATGGGTACACGGATTGGGTCGGGGGCGACATCGTGTATGACTATCAGGCGCACGACGATGGGCTGGGAGATCCTGAATTGTGGACCGTTAAAGCGGAGGAGAGACGAGCGTGGACAACCGAGGCCACTCTGGTTGATAATAATCCTGGTCCGCATCTTCACCCTCGGTCAAAATCTCGTTGCTGATGTTTCTATCTCAGATCTTTCCCAGCCCTTTGTCATCCCCTTCACCGTCGCTGTTCCAGCTGTGAACTATCCGCCGGTCTTTAAGGCTTTCAGCAGTATACAGTCCTCGCGTCCTGTCTTTCGGCATTCTTCCAGCGATCTTGGTTACCGTTACATTGCGGTACAAGCCATTCGTCCGACGGTGTATTCTTCCTTGATGCAATGTTTTAGGTCGTGAGGTTTGTGGATGGACATACTGAGGACGTGTTGGCGGGCCATACTACTTTTGTCCCCTCTTCCCAGGGCGCTGTTCAGCAAGCGCCATTCACACGGCGCACAGCATTCGAAGATCCCGACTGCAAAAGGGACGACACTCCGGCGTCAAAGAAACGCGCCGAGGATCTTGAAAGATGCCTACCTGAATCGCAACGTTCTGCCTTTATTACCGAAATTCAGCTGGAGGAAGGGAACATTGTACACCAAGGTTAATACATCTCCGGTCCTTTTTGAACTCGACTGATCCCACATTATTCAGGCCAGCCGCTGAAGGGGCGGGTGACTGTGCGCAATATTAAAGCTGGTTCAACTGTCATATCCGGCATTTCCGTCCGTGTACAAACTTTACGGAGTGACCACTGGGCGCAAGCACATGCTGATGCTGGCGGCGACACCAATTTTTACAACACCACTTCTGGATTGTGCCGGAAAAATGGCCACCGAGCTCTCAACCCTGAGACCATGTCCGACCATATCTTCGCCGAAAACGTCGACGAGGATAGAGTTTACCGGTCTCCGAATCCACGATCGAGTGTGAATAAGCCCATCACTCCCGAACACCCATACTTTGACTTCGAGCTCCAGATTCCACTTGACACTTCTGTGGATTTTACCTCATACTACACCACCATCGAGAACCATCTCCACTTTGACCTCACTGTTCTGTACTCTCTGGACGTGGCCAAATGCATCAAACCAGACTCGAAACTGCCAGAGGAAGAGCCAACTATTGACGACGCCGCTAAGACTGAAGAGGGGTTGTGGGACTCATACACGCGAGTTGGGCAGCCCCTCCGGTCTACATCACCCTGGCGGCGTAGCTTGACCCTCCGGGCGGAGGTGGCAATTACCGTTGTCGGCAGTGTCCCCCCCGCGCACCCTGTCAAACACTACCTGTTGCCAGGAACCCCGGCGCCCGTACTTCGGAGCGGGGCCCAGGTTCAAATGCTGGACGTGTTCCCTGTTGCCCAGCCAATATTTACCGAGGAGGCGCTCGCCAATACGTCTGCGCGGTTGATGCGGGCTGAGTCGACGGATCCCTTCCAACGGCGCCAACAGCTCATGAACATGACTCAGTCGCGACGGCGGGATTCCCACCCGACTAAAGACTATCGTGGAGGAAATTATGCGGGCTTACTTTGGAAAAAGAAGGTTGTTGCGGAGGAAAGAGGGATCATACCCATTGTATCGGACGGAGGAAAACCAGGGGACGGTCAGCAACCATTTTCCGCTGTCCCTTGAGTTCAAAGTTGCGGAGAAGCTTCTTTGTAATTAAATATGAGTACTGTCTGAAATCAGAGGTATAACAATTTGATGAATAGTCAATGGGGCCGGCAGTGAAAATTTAATGGAAGCGACAATGGGCTCAGGGTTTCTCTCTATTACCATAACACCAATGCTCTGACCCGTACCTGTAGGCACCGAATGGACCACCCAGTCGTATGAGCTCTGCAGAAAAATCCTTCGGGTTACAGGATCAATAGGGCTTCTACTGCCTGTGACTGTCGTGACGGTTCAACGGGTGCTGTGCCCGCTCCATCGTCGATTTGACATTTGCTTCCAAACCGGCGCTTTAGCAGATTATTCTGGCCTGATATGCCTCCATCTTTGACAGCCTACCCATTGGATGCAACTGCTCACCTTACTTTAGTCTTTCATGTTTGCCAGAACCAGACGGCAAATTTCTTGTGGACCACAAGAAACCACAAGTTGGTATGATGTTCGGCAAATACCGAGGATGATTGCCGAGTTTCAACTACAAGTTTGGGCTGGTTGGTCTTGCGCAAAGGACAAAGAACTCGGGCAGGTAAGCATCAAATGCGCGATATTCAAGCAAAATACACTGGATGAAGTAAAATAGCAAAAAAAAAAATGACCCCAACCTATTGACGTTGTTGCGGCCGCGGCCGTCCTGGTTTAAACTTGAGAAAAACGGCCGCGGTATTAATGCATTCAGAGACGAACCAAAGATGACCTCCGAGCGGAACAGGGATAAGGACTGTGGGAATATACGCCCGCCTAGCTCAATCGGATAGAGCGTCAGACTTTTAAGCCTTGACAATTGGCGGGAATGTGAATCTGAAGGCTGCGAGTTCGACCCTCGCGGTGGGCTAATAATCTTTTTGTTGCCCACAACTCAGCACTGTATGTGGGTTTTAGCAAAACAACACGTCCACTATGCGTATGTTTTGGTCAACTGCCGGTCTTAGGTAAACAGCATGTCAACAGTTCGCCAGCGGGGTGCGTAGCAATCTCCATTCGAGGTGTGGGACATATACTGTGCATGTACGAAAATTATTAAACAGTCCCAAGCGACTTGTAAGTTGTCACAAAAAACCTTGCAAAATTTCAGTAATTTCTGAACAGTGTTATCACCCATACAGCGGTAGCTAACCGAATCGGTTACGCGCTCTTACTTCCTCGCTCTGAAAACTGCAACGATGATCATGTCGAACGGATTAACAGAGTTGAACTTTTTTTTTGCTGTTCTTTTTTTCGATTAACTCATTTCAGAGCGGGGACAGCCAACTACATACTGGCCCGGTCATCTTTAGAGTAAATTGTGGTTCCAGCAATTTCCCGAGGTGCTGAAACGCGCCATGACTTCTAGAAATCGCGAATCATCATAGCCCGCCTAGCTCAATCGGATAGAGCGTCAGACTCTTAGGACCTGACAGAGGCGGGATTATCTGAAGGCTGCGAGTTCGACCCTAGTGGTGGGCTAGTCCATCTTTTGTTTTGGCTCCAAGAGTGCCTGACAAGGTAGCCAGGGATCCCCAAATTTAAAAATGAACGAAACGCGTTTCAGGAGTCTTTTGATCCATCATCTTTTTTGGCGGTCCAGTGTTTTGTATTTTGCGGCCTTGTCTAGGTCGATGGGCGCGACGCGCCGGGCCATTTTATATCACGGCACAAGAATAATCCATGACACATTTATACATGAGGCTGAGCGAAGCCGCAGTCCCTGGAAATGTTTTGTCCTTCAGGCACAAGTGCTGGCTCAATGGAACAGTTCATCTTCTGGCCAGTTTATTAGCATGAAGAGAGCCTCTGAGCAAGGCAAACCTGAACCAAGGAACCAACAGTGTGAGAATGGCGGAAGATGCCGTGCTTGGGACGAAATTCCGAGATTCCGAGCCTTCCATTTCGGGATTGATCTATACTCTATTTTCCGCACCATCGACTGAGTAATTTGCAAGCGACGCCCTTTGCTCGATGTCGCGGTCATCTCGAATCAAAATCCTCCTTGCCATCGACGTCGTCTTCTTCTTCGTCGAGATCATCTCTGGTACCCATAATACCAGTCTCAAGACTCTATTTCTGATGATTTTCCCGGACATTTTCAGGCTATGCGGTCGGCTCGCTCGCACTCGTCGCGGACAGCTTCCACATGCTCAAGTGCCCTTGTCCAATCCCCCACGAATGTCGGGCGCTCTAACGCAGTTTTGCTTTCCTTTGCAGTGATGTGATGAGCTTAATCGTGGCACTCTATGCGATCAAGCTCACAAACCAGAGCGCGACCGATTCACGCTACTCGTACGGCTGGCACCGCGCGGAGATTCTCGCTGCCCTGATAAATGGCGTGTTCTTGGTGGCGCTGTGTTTCTCGATTGGGCTGGAGGCGATGGAGAGGTTCTTTAGCACACCAGGTGCGCAGTTGTCTTGAATCTAATGAAAGTGTGGGGTGGCTGACTTGCGGCACCACAGAAATCAGCAACCCCAAGCTGGTGATCATCGTCGGGAGCTTCGGGCTCGCGTCTAACCTCGTCGGTCTGTTTTTGTTCCATGGTGAGTTTCCCTCTTCTGCGCGGTTACTCTTGTTGCCATGCTGTTCCGCTCTGGACCGTATCCGCTAGCTCCACAGGAGAAGTGCAATGGGTGACGCAGGCCGCAGGCCTTCGGACTTAGCTGCTCCATTACTTCGGGTGGTCTGGACTGCAAGGCCATCGCGCCTATGCGGTCGCAGTCCCACCCCTCGGATCTTCCTTCCACTCTTCAAATCCCCATTCTCATGCTACCCCTGCTATTCTAACCTGCACCCTTAGAACACGGGCACTCCCACGGGCACTCCCACTCCCACTCCCATTCGCTGTCTCACGAGGATTCTGGCTCCCATGCCCATGCCCATGACGCGGTCGGGCCCGCGATCAAGGGCGCCTCAGCCGCAGCGGACGGGGAGGAGTCGACGTCAGGCTCGGACAGCGAGGAGGAGCAGATGTACTCGGCGGTGGGCCCGGGACACCCTGTTATGACGCGTGCGTCGATTGTAAGAGGTGCGTTTCCTTTCCCATCCTTCCCCGCCTCTTCGTTATTCCCTGGCTTTGCATTTCGTTCCACTGCATCTCTATACCTCACGTATGATTGCTGATTCTGCACCGCGATGCAGTCGCACACAACATGGCGCGCACACAGTCCCCCGCCACGCTGTCGCGCTCGTACGATGACCACGGGCACAGCCACAGCCACAGCTCCCACCCACAGACTGAGACGACGCCCCTCCTCGCGAACGCGGATCCGTCGTCGTCCTCTCTGACGTACGCGGGACATTCACATTCACCTGAGCAAGCGAACGGGCACACCCATTCCCATTCCCCCACAACCTCCAAGCCCTCTCCTTCTCCCTCTCCCTCCCATGGCCACGCACACAGCCACGGCGGGCACTCGCACGCCGGCTCGATGAACATGCGCGCGCTGGTCCTGCACGTCCTCGGCGACGCCCTGGGCAACGTCGGCGTCATCGCCACGGGCTGCATCATCCTCCTCGCGCCCGCGTCGTGGGGCGGGCGCGAGGTGTACTTCGACCCGGCGATTAGCTTGGTTATTGCGTTTATCATATTGGGGAGCGCGGTGCCGTTGGGTGGGTGGAATTTTTCTTCTTTTTTTTTTGGTTCTTGTCCGGACGGATTCAAGCCTAAAGAGACTTGGGCTTGGGTTAAGCCTGAGGAGGAGAAACGGCGGAGCTTGGACCCGGGCCCTCCTCCGGCTGTCGACTCGTGCCAAAGCCTGAGCTTGCCTCACGTCTCCTCGCGCGCATGTCTTCCTCCCGCACCGTGCAACGCGTCCCCATCCTAATACTGACCACGTCTCTCACACAGTGCGCTCTGCGTCCTTCGTCCTCCTGCAGGGTGTGCCGTCGACGATCTCGCTCGAGCAGGTGCGTGCGGCGATCCTCGCGGTGGAGGGCGTGCAGAGCCTGCATGAGCTGCATATCTGGCAGGTGTGTGTCGTTCCTCCCCCCTTTCTTCGTCATTTTTGTCTTCAATTTGCGTTCCTCCCCGTCTTTCGTTCCCCCCCCCTTCCTTCCTGCGCTTTGTTCTATTCAATTTGAAGAGTGTACTGACGCTGCCCGCGGACACAGCTCTCCGAGTCGAAGAACATCGCGTCGGTGCACGTTCTCGCGTCGCGCGAGCTCGACTTTATGCCGATTGCGGCGAAGATACGAAAGGTGCGTCTCTTCGGGCTCCCGATGATTCCCCAAATGAAGAGCATAGACGCTAATGCTAACGTACCTCACAGGCCCTCCACGACCACGGCATCCACTCGTGCACGATCCAGCCTGAGTATTACGGCTCGCGGTGGTCGGAGCGGGCGGTCGAGGCGAGTCGTTCATTTTCTTTGACTTGACTGTCAAGGATGTTGATTGGTTTTGCCCGAAAACAGGGGGGAAGCAGCCCCGACACGGCGTGCCTCGTGCTCTGCCCGCCGGAGGAGTGTAACCCGCAGGAGGACGCGTGTTGTCGTGCGTGTCTTTTCCTCCCCCCTCCTCTCCTTGTCTTCTATTTCTCCTTTGTGCTGACGATGCTGCTGGTAGCGCCGCCGCCTGTGGATGTCTGAGCGATGTCCTGTCTTCGCTTCGTCGCTTGGGAACTCACGTAGGGTTCGGAGGAGTCTATGTCGGGAAGGGCACGGACGGTGGTATGAATGGAAGGAAGAAGGGACAGACATGCACGCTATTAGAATCTGAATATTGATGTAACTATAGCTCTACTTACTAGCTATGTAGTAGAACACGCGCGGAGGTAATTAAGGCTATTTAATGGACTCGGAGTCGAGGAAGGGTGGAGGAAGCAGAGGCAAGCTTGACGAAGCTGCCAGCATTGTCAGCAATGATCGGCAACTTGAAATTGATCCAAGCGTGCTGTGTCGCAGTTGTTTCTTTCTAAGTTTCTTTGTGAACAGTGAAGAGCTCTTTCATACCCTCCACTTCAGAGCCAGTCACTTCGTTCTGTAGGCCACTCTTCGTTATATGTGCACCTGGTACTGAGTGGAGATGCTAATGCCACCGTTTAGCACCGTTTACTGCCAGTTGCCCGCCGAAAAAACAAGCATTCAAGTTGGATGGGTGGCACGCTCCTAACCAACAATGAGCCACTGGATGAATCTGAATCGGCGTTCACCGAGTCGGCACGTAACAATACACGCTTGGCGTATCTCGACTGTCGGATATCGAAACTGCGAGAAAAACTGAAGGGCGTTGGAAGAAGAACGCGCATCATTCCTCCACCCACGACCAAACGCGGAATAGAGCCATCCTCAGGCTCTCTCCGCTTCGCAGGATGCCACCATAACTGCTTCGCGAGATATTTTCGTGGATACTACCCTCGACGTTTGACGCGCTGCGCACGGACAACATTCGACGGAGCCCGTGGCTTTTGGCCCAAATCAGCAGCCGTTGGGGGCGGATGCGTTCTTGGAGCCAGTGTTGTGGTCGCAAATTGTTGTCGATTATACCCAACCCTCGACAATTTCGCTGGTCGTCGTCAATGTCAATGCACAACTTCAGCTGAACCCCACCTCTCGGAAATGCAGGATTCGCTTCCGCGGACGTATCATGGATAGCCTCCCTCAAATGCAGATGTTCCAGTTCTTGTTAGAGCACTCTGCGCGCTGGGAAAAATCTGCTTCCTTTCCGTCACCTCACTTACTACCAATTGGACTGCCCAAGTTTGAGGAGCATAGGCGCATACTGAAGCAGACCCGGAACCTTGTCGAAGCACATATTGCCATGCATCATGGCTCTCCGACCTCCTGGCGCAGACGAAGTCATTGACTTGTGACACCTCCGACGTCTGCACGTCTCAAATCCGCGATTCTTGACGTATCACCACCTTC